AATTAGAATAGAGATGCAATGTATCCTTCTGAAAGAAACTTTTAATTCTCCAGTTATTTATGATACTTATTAATGATTAGTTACTCAAATAAATGTATCTATTATATTCTCCATTATTTAAATGCCTAGGTACCTAAATTGTTAATAATTGGCTTTAGTTAAAATAAAACAAAATGTTTAGGTGTGTAATACGAAATATAAGGAAAATATGTCGTTTAGGTTATTATTTCCATTGAAAAATTCCTTCATAAATACTCATTATTAGTTTATTACATGTATACCATATTTTGTTATGTTATACACATGACAAACATACATTAAAACCGTGTGTAATGAGTGTATGAGTTATGAGTTGACACTTGACTGTTGTTTTTGTTATTATTAAAACTATAAAAGATGTATAGAAATTGTGTTTTTAGAATTTATAATAATAATTATATTTTTAGGTTCTTTGCCTATGCAGTTTGTTGGTCAATCGCCTAACCAAGTTCAAGAATCTAATTTTGTGAGTGACCTCAGACTAGTGCAACTAGAAAAACAACTTAATATAGAATTAAAGGTACATTTTTTAAGGCAAATATTTAATTCTATCATTTGTGCAATTAACCACTGTATTTTGTATTTTCTTCAGGTCAAGCAAGGAGCTGAAAATATGATTCAAAGTTTAAGTAATGGCCATTCACGAGATAAAAAGTTATTAGCTGACGCCCAACAAATGTTATCTGACTCTAAATTGAAAATTGAATACCTAAGAATGGCTATTTTGAAAGGAAAGCAAACTAAACAGCAAAAAGAAGAAATGAAATCTAATAGTGAAAACAAACATGGTTAGAAAAATTATAATTATCTAAAAACTGGTACATATTTTTAAGGAAATTGTGTACTATATGAGGTATTTTAGTAATTTAACGAGTGTTTTTCTGATTGTGTATCAACATAAATTAAATTTTCAAAACCATAAAAATTTCAAATGAATTCATAAAAACATTTATAAAAAAATTAATATATTTGATAATACAAAATAATTTTTAGTTATTTAATAATAGATTGAACTTTTTAAAAAAAATAGACTCGGATAAGTTTGAGAGGAGACGTTTTAAAAAATTCATGTAACTTGCTCTGCTGTATAGTAGGTGTCTTGTGTACTTCATTATCTGGTAGGTTTGTAATGAATGCATTAAATTTGAATTCACTCATAAATCATTGTATATTTATTATTTATATTGCTATACTTAAGTGTTTCATTAAAAATAAAGTAGATTAAACTAACTTTTACCAAAAACAAATCAAATATATTAATTTTCATATAATAATACAGCTGTATTAACTATTGTTATTTAAAAAGACTTAAAAGACTTGTATATATAAATAGGTTTGTGGTGTAAACAATTTTAATATTAGTCTAAATATTTTGGAATATTCTGTATATTAGGCAGCTTGCAAAGATGAATCTCTAGTGGTGCAAAAAAAAAAATGGTTAATGGAATGAAAATGTCGAGTTTGGTTTATTTAAAACATTTTTGGAAATATGCATTAGTTATTAAAAATGAAAAGTGTCTGCCACACAATTTTAAATTTGACTATCTCCAAGTAGCTCCATGTTTAAAATTATACATTGTATCATGCCTGATTTAAAAAAACGATGTATGTAGCTCAAAACAAAGACAAAGATCTCAGTAAATTTTTGTTCATTAAATAAGTAAAACAATTATTTTTTTATACAATATAAAAAAATATATACATTATTACTTTACATTACATTATTGTGATTTGTATTTATACTATTTAAGAACAGTTCTATGAAAAGTTTTTAAGTTATGATGACTAAAATTTAGCAAAATATTTAGCTTAAGGGTGTGGAAAAAAAAAATTAGGAACTACTGGTATAACGTATTAATAGTATTCACATCGCTAAAAGTTTCATGTCCCTACAAATAATAAATATTGAAGTTACATCAAAATATTATTAAAATCATTATTTTTCAATAAATATCCAATTTTGTGAAATATAAACTGAAATGCTTTAAAAAGAAAAGTGCATTCGTATTTTTGAGGTTTTGAGAATTGTATAAGAACAATATGAAATATATTACATGAAACTTTCTTTTAATTTTCAAACCTTAGGTATTCAAATTGAAAATTTGAATAATAGTTGAAAAGTATTTAAATTAACTACAAATTTATTTTGAAATTTTTAGTGATTTTGATGATTTTTATTAACTCGTAAACTTCAAATACTTAATAAGGATCAATTTGACTACACTAAACTTTTTTTTTAAATATTACTAAAAAAACTTGACTAATTTTTTATAAATTATTTATTATACATTGATTATTTTGAAAAGTACTGTACATTTTTACTTTTGACCTCTTGGAGTACCAACCTTATTCTGATTACTAAGAGAATGTAGTTGTGCACAAACCAAAATTGGACATACCCTGCTGCAACCACCAAATTCTCCGCTCCTCAGTCCTACATGTGAAGTAACCACTTTCTTTCTCTAACTGTGTATAGAAAAATTTACTACCAGAGAACATCCTCAAAAATGAAGATCAGAGAAATTAAACTACATGTAAACTAAAAAAAAAAACTTAGATGATCCTCAAACCAATTCTCCATTGACAATTTATAATTTAAAAAAATTCAGAATTTAAGTTACATTTAAAGCTACAAAAAATGTACATAATATAACAGTTTAAAAATGTTACTCATAATTGATTGTCTTTATTTAGAAAAAAAATATTGATGCCTTTAAAACTGTTTCATTATAAATCACTTAAAAAGTGTGTGTACACCAACTTAATGACTGTATTAAAAAATTGTTATGGTTTTTTGATTTTAGAGAAGTCTGAGTCACATTTAGAAACCCCATTAGAAGAACGTGTAGCAGAGCTACGGCATAGATTAAGAATTGAAGCAGCGGTTGTAGAAGGAGCCAAAAATGTTATTAGAACATTACAGAGTTCCAAAATTGCAGAAAAAAAAGCTCTTCAAGAAGTAAGCATTTTTAAAATTATGTATGAATCTTCATATGCAGTAAGACCGATTATACATTCAATGAGTTATAAAATAAATAAAATAATTTACAGTGAGTTTGTACTGTTGCAACTGATATACCTACATTATGTAATTTGTGTTTTATAATATTTAAATATTAAAGCTAGATTAATTTACAAGAGGATACCACACCCGCATGTATTAAAAACATGCAACATATCTTATTTTGTGTTAAACAGTTCCAATTTTGGGTAGTTTTTTTAAATAATACAGTGAATTGACCTATTATCAAAGTTAAGTTAGAACATTATCTGTATTTTTTTTTGGTTATTAAAATTTTTCAATTATTATTACATGAGCATGTTATGTGTATGTCAAGTATTACAATTTAAAAATTCTCAATAACTTGCTTAAAAATTATAACATGTTTAAAAACCCATGAAAAAAAGACAGATAATGTTCTTACCCTTCTGTTTGAAAATAAAGGTTAATTTATGAAAGTATTAAAGCTAACCACACTAAGTAGGAACTACTGAAAATTAATTTGATGTGTCGTATGTTCATAAGACAGACATAATATATTCTATGGGTTATATTGTGGTATATATGTCCTCTTAACTTTGTTCTAGCATCAGATTTCTAAATTAAATATAATATATAACTTACAAATACCATTATAATTCTATATTAACTTGTATAGTAGCTTGCAGTCACCCTTAAAAAATTATGCCTGATTTCTGAGATTTGAACAAATTTTTTCCTGATAATTTAACAATATATTAGAATCACTGAGATAAGTAGTATTATTGTAGGTAAAAATTATGTATCTTAGAATAAATACTAGTATTGAATTGTCTTAACATGACTGACGAATTATGTTAGTTAAAGAATTGTATTTAATTTTACAATCTAATAGCATTTATAATATTTTTTTTTTATTATTATTGGTTAAGCATCAACTACATAGGTTATTAGCTTACAGGTGTTCATTTCTACATTAAATAATTATATTTTGTTGCACAATTCAATTTTTTTGAAGTATAAAATTACGCTATGAAAGTTTGAAAATGGAACAATTGCTTCGTACAGGTTGTCTGGGATGTTGAAATCTTTTCTAGCTTCGTTGAAGTTTGGGCAGTGGATGATATGTTTGATAGAGTAGTTTGTATTGCATGTTGGGCATAGGGGTAATTTATAATATTGTTCTCTATGTTATTAAGGAGTTTGCACAACAAATAAATGCCAATAAATATAAAAATAAAAATCAGATAAACATTTATTTCTGTTTAATTTTTAACTGTCGAATTAGCAACACAATTTCGTATTAAAAAATAGAATTTGATCTAAGTATTTAATAGAAAGTAATAACATAACTTAAAAGATAAATATTTGTGTTAGTATAATAAATAAATAGATGAGGTTAGTGGTTTATTTTTGTTTGAATTGTCAATGAACAACAATTTATTTTATAAACTTGGCCACTTGTAAAATTGTCAATCAAAATATTTGTGATATTTTTTATTAATACATCAACTTAACATAATTTGATCAATTTATAAATAATTTTACTGTATACATTTAAGATACATTTTATCTTATAGTGTGTTGTTACTTATTAATATTTTTAAAAATATTAAAAACTGTTAAAAGTGTTTTATATCTTTATAATATCTAAATGCAAAAGATCTATATAAATAAGTAAATAAATAAATCTCCATATTAAATACATAATAACTTATATAATTATTTCGTTAATATCAATGGTTATGTAGTATGTCTTTAATGATTTAGTATAAATATTTTTTTATAATAATTTAAATGTATCTAAATATATTTCCGGGATTAACATTTTTGGCTGTAAAAAAGAATCTAAATTACAACCTTGGTTACTTTTCAGTTAAATATGTAATTACTTTTATTCGTTCATTTGGATTAAATCCAACATTTTTACATTATTTTTTTTTGTAATCTTAAATTTAAATAAATGACATAATGCAAAAGATTTTATAAAATAGTACAATTTATTTATGTTTGAATTTTACATAATATGCCTTTAAAATAATAAATTAGAGACATTTTCTAAACAATGTCGATATCTCTGATTGACTAGCTTCACTACCGATGGAATATGATCTATGTCTGGTATTATAAAACCTGCGACAGTTAAAACATGAACAATCTGGATTCTTTGAAGGTCCTACATGATGATCTTGTTTTACAGGTGATCTCATAGGTCCAAACTTTGATGCCATTTTAGCAACTTGAGTCATAACAAATGTAGAATTTGATGGCTGTCTATACATGGGTGTTTGTGAACAGTCACTAAAGCTGCCCATATCATCGTTTGTATTTTTTACTTTAGACCATGGGCGTCTTGCTAGAATTTGATTTTTTTGAGAACTGATGCTATTGAAACTCCAAGCAGTCTCGGAACATTCGTCATCTGAACTACTACTTGTTGTGTCATCATAGTTTTTTGATTTGTATTTTTGTTGTATATTTTCGGATTCAAAACTATTTAAACTGCTGTTTTCTAATGTAGTTGAATCCATAAATGAAGATAAACCACAACTAGATGACTCGTAAAAAGAAGAATCGGATATTGTATTCGTAGAACTTATTGTATTCGTAGAACTTATTGCTGACAAACAAGGACTTCTTTGTAACATACTTTTATTTGACATTATTGATTGACTTCGAGCCTTATGAGATTTTTTTGATATCTTTTTGCATTTAATTTTTACATCTGATAAATTAAGTAATGTATCTGTACCTTTTGATGTTAAAGTATTATCTGAATCTGAAGATTCTGTGCAATAAACATCAATATGCACAGTCCTGGCATGTCGCTTTTTATGTTTGTCTAATTCGAATTTACGATTTTTCATAAAAATGTTGGTATTTTCCTATAACAAAAAAAAGTTGATCAGTGATGCACATTATTATTAGTAAACGACTAAAATACCTTTGTTAAGATAGTTGATGTAGAAGGGGATGTCTGACTAGACACATCCACAGTTTCTAAATGTTTTTTTGGTGGAACATTGGTACAAAAATGTGCTGTAAAACTTTGTGCTCTTCTAGCTGACATGGGGCTTCTTATACCACAACATACTTCACATTGAGGTGCTATATTAAAAGTACAATCACATGCAGATCCACGGGATGAACTGCCAAGACCAGAATCTGTCCTTTGAGGTGGCTGGGCAGTAAATACAATATTTCCTCGTTGAAATCCGTAACATGGTTGCTGAGACATTGGCAAATTGTTATTGGGTTGTTGTATTATTTTTAAATGCGCGTGAATAGACCAATCATGCATTAAATTAGAATTATTATCATTGATTTTTTTCTCCATTTCATAAGTCACTATTAAATTTGTTACACAAGAATAAAAGTGTACATTCAAAAGCTATGTTGTAGAAAATACTGGCCACTTCGATGAGTCAAAAGTATCCTAATTCTCAGCTGAGAGCTGTAGTGTAGTTTTGGCATAGCATCAAAAATACTGTTCAAAGCATGCTACTGTTGTTGAAGAGAGGGAACTAGTATTGCTTCCCAAAGGTCATAAATATGACAAATTCACCCACATACTGCATTCCAAAGCCAAAACATAATTTTAAATAATTTAACAGCCTTAATAATTGTATACCTGATAGTAATTTTTCCATGTATTGATGTGAAATGTATGTTGTTAATAAAATAATAACAGTCAAAAAATAATAACACGAGTAAGTTCTTCTAAAAATCTAAATTAATATAAAATATTTCTAAGAATGTTTCAGTTTGTTGTGCACCTTGGTAAAAATTAACTAAAATCTATATTTATGTCCCTTTTATGTATTAAAATTATTAAAATTAAATATATCATATGACATACGCGTAATCAAAATTAAATAAATGGTCTTAGTAGTATATCCAGAAAAGTAATGGCTTTAAGCCAACTGAAGTGTGCTAAAAAGATGCAGTTTCTATTTCCAGATAGTATAATGTAACAACTTGACTAAACATACTATTTTTTTTACTACATAAATATTATGATTTAATTAATTAGTTCAGTATCAAGGTTTAATATCATTTTGCATTATATTATACATAAATGTTGAGTTTAGGGTTATATTAGTAGATCAATCTAGACAAAAATTACTACACTGCTTTTAACAATAAGTAATATTTTACTAACATATGACATACACTTAAGTATTATAATGTAGTGCCTATAGTACGCTAAAAGTCAGACTTAAATATAAGTGACCTATTGACCCCCATTATTGTAACACATCGTTTGATCTTACAAATTTTGGTAAAACAACAATGTTATTATTATTGCACAATAATTTGATGTTACTTTGTATATAATATTAAATTACATTCAACAATACATAAATAGCTTATAGGTTATTCCCAGTTTATTTTGGATTGAAAAAAATTTATTTATTTGTACCTATGGATTAATATGTTAATGGTTTTTGTAAATTATTTTAATAAAACATTAAACTACTGTTTATAGGTTATGTATAGTTATTATTTATTATTTTCTGTAATATTTTTATGATAAAGTATGTAAAAAAATAAATAACCACAAAATGAGTTATAAAAAAAAAAATATTTATTCCAAGTATTTTATTATATGTTATATGCCATGTTCTACAAGTATACTAGGTATAATATAAGTGTAAAATGACTGACTATTAGTATAATACATATAGGTTTTTTTAAATTATTTATGTATAGCTTCCATTGTAAATATAATTAGCATATTCTCCACTTTACAATTTTATGTATTTGTATTTAATATCTTACATTATATTTGGTTGCTCATGGTCGTGTTATTTAAAAACATTAATTTGTGTGAAATATGTGATTTAACTTCTACTGTCTTTATGATTGTTGGTGGTATTTTTATGAGATTCAATAGGACAGATCTGCAGAGCACACAGATTCACAGTATTGTGTTTTGTTGTTAAACATTGTGCTTGTGATGTTATTATTAAAAATTGTTTTGTTCTATTGGGCTCTAAGCACAGTAAAAAATAAATATTGAATTGCAGTTCCTTATTAAAAATGTATGACAGGAGGTGTGGTGTGTATGGCCTAATTGTAATATACTATTGACAAGTGGCAACTATTGACATCAAGGTTTACAATCAATGTTAGGTTAATTTAACTAAGTAAATACTATTTTTTTAGTATTGAAATATTCCGTAATCTATATTTATTTTTATACACCCAAAATGTTGTATTTACTTATACCTATTAACTGTGTAATTTAGTAAAGTATTGATTTTTTTCCAACTTTTTTATTTATTAAAGATTTATTCTAGATAAGTTGTTTATTATTTACAAACATTTGAAGTTTTTTAACTACTTATCTAATATTAAATATCATTTATACACAAAAATAGAAAAAATGTACTGCATAAAAACTATAAACCTTTTATATCATATTAACATCTGAGATAAAAAGTTTGTTCTATTTTATAATGAATAGGTAGTGTTGATTCATAAAATACTTGGTTTATATTATGATTAAATTGTATGTGTTTGGCTTATAGTTACTAAATTTAATTAAGAGAGAAAATAAATAGTTCAAAATAAAAAATGTTCGTGTTCTACTATTCAGTCATTCTCCATATTCATAAAATAAATAATTGAGAAGTAGTATGGAGAAAATAAAGCAACTTAAATCCTGCTTCACTTAGAATTGTTGTTTAAAATGTAATGATAAAATATCATTTCAACTCAATATAACATTCAAAATATCGATATTAATACTTTTTTATTAATAAGTATAATTTATTTGTAAAAGCCACCTTTTAAAGAATTAATGAATCATAGTTAAATTATTATTTTAATGATTTATTTTATAAAAAGTTTTATTTTCATTTTTCAATAGGCACAAGCCAATCTTTCAGAATCTAGTTGTAAATTGGATCTTTTACGACAATCACTTGAACACCGCCGTCAAGAGCTTCCAGCTAATTCATCAACAGCTATCCAATTAGTACGAGAATTACAAAACGCTCAAGCTGCTAGTCCAACTCCAAATCATGCGTATGTTAGTTTACAGCCATTCCTAAAAGCAGAAAGAAATGTGATACCGGAAAAGGCTTCTGTATCTAGATGTGCTGCGGTTACTGGTAAACTTGAAGTTAGGTTGGTATCTTAATTTAGTTTTTAAATAGTAACATATTACTTATTTAAAATGCTCATAGGTTAATGGGGTGTCAGGATTTGCTTGAAGAAGTTCCAGGTAGATCAAGACGAGAAAAAGATAATCCTGGAGATTTGAGGTCTTTTGTAAAAGGGGTGACTGGCCGTAGTTCTAGTAAATCATACAATATTAAAGACGAAATTAGTAGTAAGTTATAAAATAAAGATATATATTAAATTAAGCAATTTATTAATTTTTTTATTTGCAGATGAAATCATGGCTGTTATTAAATTAGATAATCAAACAGTTGGGCAAACTAGCTGGCGACCATGTTCTCAACAAGCATGGGATCAAAGGTGATCTTTAATAATTATATATGGAGTATATTTTTTCCTAAATTAATAAATACCTCAAGATTAAAAAAAAAAAATGTTTTAAAATATATACTTTAAAACAGAGGTTCCCAAACTGTGGGTCGCGATTATACTTTTGGTGGGTCGCACTATTTTTTTAAATAATACAAAAATATAATCATATATTACTTTTCGTTGATGTTCAAAGTTCAAATTCAGTTTTATCGTCAATCCTTATCTGTGAGTATGACAATTACGAGTTTACCAGCGGCCGTGTCAAATACTATATATTATACTTATTATACATTTTTTTCGTAATTACATAAAATGTAATAAAATAGTTTTAATTTTCTGTTGTATGGTAAAAAAAAAAAAAGGTCATTCATTGATATTGTGGGTCGCTATATTTTAAAAAAAATTCAAAATGGGTCGCACAATAAGAAGTTTGGGAACCTCTGCTTTAAAATATTTATTAAATTGGTAGTTCAATTACATATTTAATATAATAATATAATATTGATTAAAATTAGATAGTCTAAATTTTAAAACATTGAAAAAGTTGTATTAAAAGTCTTTTTTACTAATAGTTATTATTTATTGAATAAAAAAAACTATCCAAAGACTAGACAGACTTTTATCTTATGGATCTAAGCTATAATTTCTTAGATTTAATAATATGGATTTAAATTGGCAATAGATTTTCTATTGACTTGGATAAATCTCGAGAGCTTGAGATTGGAATATATTGGAGAGATTGGCGATCATTGTGTGCCATTAAATTTCTTCGATTGGAAGAATTTATTGATGATATTCGACATGGTATGGCTTTACAATTGGAACCACAAGGACTTCTTTTTGCAGAGGTAATTTGCATATGATTAGTTATGATAACATTTAATATTATCTTATAAATAATAAATTTAACAGCAAGGATGTTAGTAATCTAATGATTTTAATTAAATGCAATATTTTGAGTTAACAATTTCAATTCAAAATTATTTTACTGTGTACCCTTATACTTTTACTTTAACGTTATTATTCTAGGAAGGTTTTATAATAAATATGAATGAAAAAAAGTTATACATTTTCCAAACTATTCCCTGAATTTATTACTAAAAAATGGATTAAAAGATAAATGCCAGACAAGTTTATTATTAATAATTTCTTCAATCAAAACTAAAGTTTTAATAATAGAACATTTATGTCAGTTAATATTTTTTAAAATAATTTGCAATGATCTATAGAAAAACAATTTGTTACCTATTCATTTTTTTTTTTTTTTGTAAATATTAACTTCTAAAATATTGAACAGTGTAAAGGTAAAAGTACAGTTTAAATGTTATTTTATATTTAAGATAACATAATGGAAAAATACTTGTTATGAATGTTTACCTTCATATTTTTAACACAAATGATTTTTGGGAGTGAGTAATTTAAAAAAAAATACCAAATGAAAAATAAATAATATAGTTGTCAGTAGTTAAAATACCTTATTGTAGTCAAATACTATTCAATTAATTATAACCTTAGTTGTTTGTCCTACATACTATACCTTATTAAAAAACTATTTGCATTTAACATGGTTGTCTCTCATCTTTTTGAGCGTAAAAAAAGTAGGTACCTACTACCTACTCCATCAACTAGCTCCATTTTGTAGTTTAATTAATTATCCTAATCATGTACTAATATTATATTTTTAAGAGGCCTGGTTCCGGTCTTTCAAATTTTCCGTTATTCTATACAATTTTAAAATTATATTTATAATATTTTTTACAGGCAAGTTTATTATACATTTGGGTTAGTTTTTACTCAGGCTGAGTAAAAGTAATATCAGAACCACATGAGCCTGAGTTCACTTCTATAATATCAATGCCTTATTGAAATGATTGCTATGTGGATTTATTATTTTGGAAACAATTATTACTAATAAACCGCTGGCCTAGTGGCCTGCCAAATTTTCTGACAACAACTATACTTTTAGACTTAAGTTTATTACATATTTATTTATATGACTTATCATACATCTAAAAGCCTTATCCAAAGTCAAAACTGATTAAATCGTATTTGATTACTAGTAAGTTATGACTAATTTATGGAACCTGAAACTTATAAGTTATGACAATACAATACACAATTCTTATCTATTTTGTATGCAACTGAAGTTCTGTATATTTTATCTTACCTTCTTATTCAAAATATAACAATAACCTTTGCTTGTAAAGCCCGATGGACAAATCATTTTTATTTATTGGATTCATTATGATGTATATCGGCTATCATTATAAATTATAATGTTAATCTAACTAATAAATCTGTGCTTTGGCTTTTAAAAAATTAAAAAATTGAAAAATCATAAAAATCCAACAAGAGAACACAGATGATATTCTTACATTTAAGTTTAATAATAAGTTAATTAGCTCTAATATTTCAGCATCTTATTAATGTAGTTTTAAGTTATATTAATTGATATTCTTATTTCTAGAATTGTATTCAATGATTTATTCATATTTTTAGATTAAATTTTTAAATCCTATGATATCACGTCAACCTCGTTTACGAAGACAGCGTAAAATATTTAAGCAGCAAGCCAAAAACTTCCCTAGAGCCAATCAAATGAACATCAATATAGCTGCTTGGAGTCGACTTCTTAAAAGATCATCACCTTCAATTCAAAATTCACCATTAGTTCCTGTACAGCAACACTCAAGATCACATTCACACTCTGACAGCTCCACAGGTTTATAATTAATTGATAATTTGTAGTCTATATGTTACTAATTTGAATGTGATTACTTAACCTTATATAACCTTTAGATGGAGGTGATACAAGACTCGAAGAAAAATGTACACCTGGTGAAACACCTGAACCAATTAACACTTGTGGATTGGCTGGTGCACGGCCATTAGGTTTAGGGGTTGCAGTTT